TACTGCGCTCAGACCAGTTCACACGTATCGGGCGCGGTACACTGGAAATGATTTTGCAGCGCAGTTCTTTAACCGCTACGGAATGTGCCATCTACACGGCAGTCGAGAGGTACTGTAACTGATTTAGGTTTTTGACTTTATTTACCTGAGGTACAACGTATTATGCAATAACGGAAAACATCACAATTTTTACAACATCAAAATTAATTTTCATTAAACTTTTCTGCTCCTTCCATTGTTTCCAAAACCGATGCCGCGTTGCCTCGCTGAATCTCAAGTGGCAATCGTTGACGTATAAATTCATGGGAACGTCTGTCGCTTGTGTGTTATTCCAGTCGTTTGCCGAGTTCTGTAATAATGGCGATAGCCAAGGGCCCATTGTTTCAAATTAAAAGCTAAAGGAGCAAAGATGTATCGGCTACACGACATTTTGCTGACTTTAAAAACCCAAGAAACCTAAAAACCCAAGAAACCGAGAAAACCTAAGGACAAACAATAAAAAGTTAAGAAAATTCAGAACACAACGTATCGAACCGAAAAGCAAGGGCTCGGTCAGCAAAAGTGTTTCGGCAAAACTTCGGTCAACAATTTAGCAGAAAATTAAATTGTCGGTCAGCAAATTTTCGGTCAGCATAATTGACGTGCTATCCACAGGTGGGCTGCGGCGAACTGTCTTCGAGGAAATCTTGACCCTTCTCAGGCCAACCGCCGAGAGGTACTGGGAAACGCGTTGTTTCTCGTCCGTTTTCCGCTGCTGACCGACTCGGAACTGGCCAACGGTCCTTTAAAAGTAAGCCTGTTGTCTCGAGGTCACGTAATCAGGCGAAGTTGGAAAAATGATTGCGTTTTTAAGAGCCGTCTGTTGCTGGATTGCGAGCTGCTGGACATTTACCAGTTCCGACACTCGGCCGACAATTCACCTCAGCTTCCCTTTCCGAGCGAACCCCGGCGGGGCTCGCTGCTGCGCATTCCCAAAGGCTATATTACCTTCACGTGCAGTGAGAAAGTGTTCGTTGACCTCAATTTGTTCAGCGAGTATTGGTTGCCGGCAAAGATTGCCGGTGTACGTGGAGAAGATTTTCTCGTGACCCGAAATGAGGGGGAAACGGTGGTGCGGTGTGCGCCGCACAAGATTGTTCGGGCCTCGGAAATCCTGAAGAAAGATCAAAAGGTCACGGCTTCCTTTGGGTTGCGTAATGGCGAATTCACATATGTGGAGTGCCGCACCGTCAATATGCACGTCCTCGTTCTTGGGAAGCGTCACTGCACCGAGATGTCATATCCGTTTGAGGAGCTTAAGATCAGTCACGCCCAGATGGCGGCTTGGAAATCATCTGCCGCGCAATCCAATGGGTGAATCCAGACAGCTGATGGTTCGGCGGTTATAATGGGATTCGCGTACGGTCCGACGCGCCATTAAGTATCTGTTTCTGACGTACGATAATTGGGCCTTGATGTTGGTATGAGAGCGATCTTCTGTTTTGACTAGTTTACAGATACATATTTGTTGCTATAACCTAGAAGTGCAAGTTTCTACTAATATTTAAATACACGATACAGAATATTTTTTGTACTTCAGTTCACTCTCAGTTTACCATTTGATTTGATTCTTTCGTTATTTTTTGGTTTGGTTCTGTTCGATCTGGATTGTACCCGTCTGATTGTACACCGAATGTGTTTCGCATGATGCAGCAGACAAAGTGAAATTATCAACGAGTTTGATGATTGTTATGATTCTACAATCAATATTCAATACCAACAAGTACTTAGTAAATAGCGACCCAGTTACGCTATACATGCTTCTTGTAGCCGTTCCGTTATTCGTAGGGGAAACCCAATTGTAAATCTCCTTATTTACTGTACTATCGGTTTTCTTATTAGCACAACCCCCGTCACATTATTTTGAAACAAAAACCGAATTAATTACAGCAGTACAATTTCTCTTAAATTATCCGCGCCGTCCATGGTTCCGAGAGATTCACCGGGTTGCCCCGCTGAATCTCGATCGATAGACGCTGGCGTAAGAATTCGTGGCAGTCGCTGGGTGAATTGTGTTTTGTTCTCACCACGCAGATACTGCTCATACTCACCGCTGAACGCCCGACCGATTTTGTTAACCGCTACTGACCGAACCGATGCCTAGATTTCAAAAATTGTTTCTGCACGCTATATCGCTCCTTCCTTTCGACCGTGTCATGCACCAGCGCTGACAGCTGTTAAATGCTGTTATACCCTGTGAATTCCATAAGCGGTGGATTTAACCTTCACTGAACAGTGAACTTCCGTGTAAGCTTCTGCCAACATCGAAGTCCCGTAAGTTCGGGTTGCTCTTGCTGTAATAAGAATAATGATAATAACGCGGGCACCTTAATTAACCCTTAATGGTCTGACATCGTCCAACTGATACACAATTTAACAACACACAAGCTAAAACTTTGCCTTGTTCTTCAGTGCTGTTCAGTGCTTTTGTATAGTGATACTTATTGATGAATAAAGTAATTGGATGCTCTTACCAATTCTGAAATAATTTGTATTTATGAAATAATCGTGTTTAACATTATAAAAGCGTGTGGTGTGTATTGCACAGTGCAGAAAACATCGTACATATAACTCGGGTCCAAGTATTGGATGATCCGGTCGAATCATAGCAGCGACAAGTTTATGCTACCGACCACCCTGGCGGAAACCGGCGACGCGACGTTCGACGACTGTAAGAGCGATCATGAGTCATGACTTAAATAACACACCAACATTCTACATTGATCCACAGATTAAACATAAAAATTATAATATAGAAAATATGAACATACAAAAACAATAATTACATATACAAACGGCATAACTAATCGTAATACGACATTCCGCTTGCAGATATGGAGCTGCTGGGCTTGGGCAACATCAGGATGGGCGACAACTGCGTGGGCTTCGACCGGCACGGCAACGGCTTCGGCTACTGGAACTGCTCGCTGGCCGGCACGCCGCTCTGCGAGATGAAGCTGACCAGCGTCCCGCCGCCGCTCAACGGCACCGTCCCGCACGTCCACCGCCACGGTGTCCAGTGCCGTTAATACGATGGCTAACGAGACGGCGGCGCTTCGCGAGGGTTGCCCGCAGCTGCCGGGATGGACGCGGCTGGGCAGGAGGTGCTACTTCCTCGCCGACGACTTCGCGAGGTTTGAATAATCTCAAATTTAACGTAACAGCGAACTGCGCACACCGTGACCATTTCCATCAGAGCAAATATTGCGTTTGGATTGATTTAGGTGCTAGATTGTTCGGCTTGCCTCATAGTTCATGGCTGAGACAAATTTTCGGCGTTCAGTTCATGAGAATGATCGTGGTAATGCTTCGGGTCTCCTGGGAACTGTTGCATCTTGTGTTAACTGAAATGGACTATTTTTGTCTACTGTTGACTGATTGAGTTTTTGTCGATTTTTGTTGACTGCTTTCCTCGTATCACGTATGTACGGTAATATGTGCTGATTACAAATCCTGGGACTACATCCGGTTTATTTAGTTCTAGCAGCTTTGCGGCTTCCAAAAAGCTGGCACTTGCAAGCTTGATTGCAGCATCCCTGAGATGTGTGGCATTTATTTGATACGTAGATACCCATTTCTTCAAGTCCGGCGCTGGTACTCAAAAAACTGCTACGCTTCATATTTGACAAATTGCCGGCAGTGACCATCAATCTGCTGAACTTATATCCAAACTTTCCGTTACGTTTTCGGACGCCCAAAATGTGTGACAGAGTTTCGGATAACGGCAGCCATAAGTCAGTTCATATGCAGAGACGGATCGCCAAGCAACTCGTAGTTTAATTTTATCCTCTCTTACCTCACGAATGTTAGTTCTGCCAACCATTTTATCGGTTTGTTTGCCACATTCTTCCCCATCTCTCAACACCGTTCTTAAACAAGTAGTGTCGAATATCGAAGACGGCGGTAAAGAATATTGTGGTTGATAACCTTTTTTTAGAACCCATTGTCTCGTAACTTCTTAAATGCACCTACCTTACAGTGAACTAAATTCGCATGTACCTGCAGAATGCAGAGACGTGGCTCACAGAACGGTTGGGTCTGATTTGAATGGCACACATAGAAATGCTAATTTTATTGCTCAGATGTTGTCAGTTGTCATCTGTCATTGGTGTGAGCTGGATATACTCGTATGAACAGAGGAATTTGCTGATCACACAAGCACACACACGCGCCGCTTTCTTTGATGGCAAATTAGTGTTCATGCCGGTCGCTATCGCATTTCTCTTAACGAAGCGCTGGTAGCTATCTCTTTGTTAGACTAATTATCCTCGTTCGACACCCATAGCAAAAAATTATATCAAAGCACAAGCAAAATTATTATTAAAATGACATCGCTGTATTTGGATAGATGCGGCTTTGTTCCTTTCAGCTAGCTAAAAACCCCAAACTCTATAACCATTGATAAATTCGCCTTAGAAAGTGTAGTTGTATTTGAGAAATTCTAGGCAGTAATTTTACACGGCTGTTAGGCTTAATTGTGATAACAATGCTGCCAGCCTGGGAGATTCAGAAAAGGCGCGAATGCTGACATGCTGTTAGAAAGTAGGCTCGAAAGCAGCTTTACTTTATTCTTGTCTTTTTAAAAAAAAACATGCGATTGAAAAAACTTGCGATAGTCAAAAAGCGCTGCTTGCAGTTCACTGCAGGCGCAATCTTTGAGAGAAAAAATAACACTTGCAAGCGATGGAACTACAGCACCATGCTTCGATAAACCTTGAAACTGATAAACGTTATATTGAGGACTGTTCCGTACAAACACACTGCAATAGTTTAGAATTCACGATATTCAGTAAAGCCTTAACATGAAACAAGTCTTATCAGTGCGCATGCTGATTACTAGTACAACTTTACAAATTTTAAATACCACTTGAACGTGCCCAGTGAGCATTACTGCAGTTGTACGCAACTACGCATTTTATGATGGTAAACGGTTGGGGAAATCATCACTGAAAATCCACATATTCTATTACGGCCCCATTAACTCTGTCTGATCAATACGAAAATGTATCAAGTGTAGTGGTTCAGAAATCCAATGCAATTTAACCGATCTAACCGAAGGATCTGTGCCCGATTAATTCACTTTGCTGTAAAGCGTTTGTAAAGCGCTGTTCAGTGAGATCGATCTGCAAGTAAAATCTACAAACTACGACAAACATTTTTACCATTAATTTTATATCTGACTATTGGATCGACATCAGGATGGGAAATAGTGCTTCGATCAGCAACGCGCTATTCGAGGTCATTGGCCCGAACATGGAGTACCCGGACATCGATGATTCGCCAGGGGAAATTATTGCTTGGGGGTCTTTCGGCCACATTTGCGTAGCTAATGTTAAAGTTACACACCGTGGCGAGTACACTGGAGCAGACACAATAACCGTAAAGCAGATACGTCTCTACAACGATGCCGCAGATTTTACTGACCACGAACGCTGGATGCAAGCCTTGCAAAGATTACGAACTCTGACTGAGCTTATGCATGAAAATCTTGTTGTCTACCACCAAGTCCTCATCTGCGCCGCAAAGGGAGCCATAATTCAGCTGGCAACAGATTATCATGACACTAATCTCACCAATTATTTAAGAAATGTCCCAGAAAAAGGAGACGCAAGAATTAGTTACGAAAAAGTCATCCAGCTCGCAAAGCAGATTACACGAGGATTGGAATATCTACATTCTAATGACTTAACCCATGGCGATTTAAATCCAGCTTACATATGGGTGAGAACTGGACCAGATAATCTGGAAACGCTTTTGATCAGTGATCTAGATGGTTGGATGCTAATGCGAGACATCGTTCGATTTGATAGATTCAATATTCTTAGGGACATACCCTACTTACGCTTTATGTCACCTGAAATGGTGAGGTTCTTTCAGAATAAAGAGACTTCGGAAATTGGAAGCCAAACAGATATTTGGAGTCTTGGCTGCATTATTTTACAGATGGTGGAAAACTTCCTACACATAACAAATAACCGATTAGTGAAGGGAGTGTGTTATGTAGACTCTAGAAACTACCTCGATGAAGTTGGCTTAGTCGCCCTAATCGCCGACGGTTACGCGCCGCATGTGAGTGACGACATCGATGAAAACTTAGCGGGCATCATTCAACAGTGCTTGGATATATCCAGTTTAAACCGATTGTCTACCGGGGAATTGTTGAACAAATTACAAAAAATTAACATTATAGTCGACCCGATCGATGATCTAGGATCAGCGACGATTATCGGCAGTAATATGCAGTACCGCTATTCACACGTTGATTATATTGGAAGAGGATCCTTTGGAATTGTTTATAAAGCCAAAGTGACAAAACAGGGCAGTTATATTGGGCAGAAATTTATAGCTGTCAAAGTTATGCACATGGGAGTTCAATCCAAAGGTCCCAATGAGGGCGAAAGCTGGATGAAAACCTTAAAACGACTGAGGAAGCTTACTGAATTGTCTCACAAGCATCTCGTTGCTTATTTCAAAATCTCCATCGTTGACGCGCCCGGTGGAGCGACCGTCGAACTGGCAATGAATTACCATAAAGGTGACTGCGTATTAACCAATTATCTCACCTACTGTAGGAGCTCTCACTAGTAGCCGCTGACTTCGTTCTGTTTCCCAGTGAATTGCTAATTGGCTTGCCGACTCTGTAATGGTTATGCAAACCTGTTCGCTATCTAAATGATCAATGAGAGAAATTTTGCTTTTTTACAAATTCATTGCCAAACAGCTTGTCGACGGATTCGTTATCCGTCAACAAAAGAGTCTTCAAGGAGTTATCTAGCAGTTAATCGATGGGGTTCCTACTTCCTAGTTATTATTCAAGTAATTACTACGACTTCATATCAGACCCGTCTTTAGAAGCTGCGGTATAAATGTTGCGCCGAGAGGTGGCGCACCGGCTACGCCGACGCGAAATTGGGCGCAGAGTCGTTTGGCGCACGCAGCTTTTCAGTTTTTAAAATGGGACGCCGTTATTTAGCTCTGGCGCGCAAGTCGCGACCGGAAAGGTGCTGATTGTATGTGTAGCCTAAAGCGGAGATGTTTCTTTGGTGACCCTTAGTCAGCTTTTCGATTTTTCTTCGATTTTCTGAGTTTTTGTTTTCAGATTCCCTCGGTTCTGCATTCTGTCAGTTATCAGTCTGTCATTTTAGCAACCAGGCGAGTGATTACTCTATCGGTCAGCATAAGAGTCGTTAGCAAGTTGTTGGTCAACTAAACTGTCAGAATGCCAAGCTAGGCATAGTTAAATGTATCTTAAAAGTGCTTTGCTTTGATTGGTTATAATATTGTACAAATGTTTGTAGGGGATCTTGCGTCTTACCTTGAGGAGGCTAAGAAAAGTCGGGATTTACAAAACAGTTATACCCATAAAAAGGTTATCAAATTCACGATACATTTAGCTCGCAGACTGGAGTACTTGCACTGGAATAGTATAATTCATGGAGATTTAAAACCCGAAAACATCCTCGTACAAATTATGAATCATGGTCGCGAAAAACTACTGATCGGCGATTTGGACGATCTAGTTCAAATGCGCAAAAGCCATACTTGTTCCGGGGACATTTTGCAGCTCCGCGGGACGACGCGTTATATGTCACCCGAGATGTTGCGAAAATTCACGCAAGTGGGTGACGAGCAACCAGGAAGGAAAACGGATATCTGGAGTTTGGGTTGTATAATTCTGGACATGGTTGAAGCCTTGCAAAATGAACCGGTAAAGCGACTCGCAAAGGATGGGAATATTGTGGATGCTGGAAGCGATCTTCCCAGTCACCGGTATGTGCATCTGATCATCAATGGATTCGTGCCACTTGCGAGTGATAGCGTTGAGAAAAACTTGGCGCGGCTCATCGGACGCTGCTTGAATCAAGTTAGTAATAACAGAATATCCGCACATGCCCTGCTTGGAGCCTTCCGGAAAGAAAAGAAGCATGTTATCGTATTTTTTGCTCACAAGAGGCTTACCACCCTGGATAAAGCGTTGCTGTTCGATCCTTTAACTGTTTCCTTTGAAGCGCGAGAAAAGCTCGGAGCACCAACTATACCGCCACACCGCTGGTCGTATACGGACCCCATACTTCCTGGTTTAAAATCGGAAATCATGTTCTGTCTGAGGACCATTGGTGTGGCAGGACATGCAGATGATACTGAGCACCACTTCTGGAACGTGGTTGACGGGACATGGCGTACGATGTCACCGATGTTGTCAACGAATTCATTTGTGGTAAAACGCAAGCTTTATGTTTGGGACGGAAGGGAAGCTTTTATGGAGATGGACGCTTTTACGGGCAGCATTCTCTCTATAAGAACTCCTCCGCGAATCAACCTGTATGCAATATAATGGTGTTTTTAACCTAGTAGGTATGCGAGAGGTAACAAATTTTGACTAAGCTTTTCAATTGCAGTCTTTACGGAGAATGGGTTGCATTACAAACCGTTTCACGGCTTGACATTTCCATTCATTCTAGGAAACCAGCGCAAAGTGGACAAAATACAAGCCGGCAACAAGTCCCCCGTGTTGCTGAACATGGGGACGACGTTGAGGCTTAGACATGTAATTTCATCCCGGGCCAGCGGTGCTCGAAGTAGAAAGAAAGATAACAGATAGTGAGCCCACAAGCTCAGCTTTCTCTCTGCCAGTCTTAACAACCTGTGGTTTCGGTATATAAGCTTCCTAGAAGAAAACACACACAACGATGTTTATCACATCATAAACCAAGAAACTTTGTTTGTCTATACCATTATGGACTGATCAACATTAACAGCCTTTTATTGTGGTTCGGGTCCTCCCTTGTTGTAAATTCCTTCCGTGCTGGATCCCTAATCATGCACAAAGGGTCATCGCACTCGTACGACGTCCAGGACTGCAATTCGGGGTGTTTATCCCGACAGTGCTCTTTAAATTTATCCGCTACAATGAATTGTCCGCAATAAGTTCCGGAATCCTGTTTACGGTATGGCATCGTATTGCAAACTGGTCATTATGACCTACCCGCTGTTGATCTTTAATACGAGGATCAATCCGCCAACAGTAATCGCAGTGGTCTGCTTGCTGGGCTGAGTATACCGCTTTTGAGTGCACTTTTTTAGCGTCATTACTGTCTTCCGTGTCGCGATGCTCGAGATTATGCTGCTTGAGCCCTTCTTGCGTATATACGAGTCCTTTTAACGAGCCATGTCCTTCGTCGCATTTTGCACAGTTAACATAAATATAATCCTCTCGTAATATCGTAATATAGGATTCTGGCAAATTATCCGATGGTCTGCAATATTTCCTCTATACTGATCGAACTTCAGTATGCTAACATGTGCATCCAAATACTTCTCATGGTGCGACATACCAAAGTAATCCGGCGCGTCGTCACCATACACTTTTGTGGGCACGTAAATTGAGTCGTACACTTTCGCTTCCTTGACTGCACTATAAATCGCTTGGGCGATATCTCCTCCGTATATCAACGGATAATCGAAGTGTCCATGCATTTACCCATCGGGCACTGCTTTTCGTAGGATATTAAAATCCCCAAAAATAGCCAGTTTGTAGTTGTTACCTTCATATCTGCTGCAAAAAGCCTCCAAGCTATGGGCGAATTCGCCGGCTGCCTTATCCGTATAGTTGCTTTTGCGGTATGCGAAGAAACAGGCCCATTTATCAATGGCTGTAAAGGTGAACGTTAGACATTGATAAGATAACTTTTTGTCCTTTGAAATAGTTTGTGAGCGCTATACCAAAGAACAGCTGAGAATGCATTATTGTATGGTGTATTCCCTAACCCATAATGCATAAAGTTATATAGGGAGAAATCCGATTGCATAATATACACCTTCCCTGTACTGCTCATCCAGTCCGTATGGATTTCCACGTCATGACTGAACAGTGCTACTTTTTTACCTGCACACTGCATATAGAGTCGCTTCAGTAAGCGTATCTCGAAATGTGTTTGAGTCATTACATTCATGCTGTCCTGTATTCCTGGAAAATTTTTTTCCTGTTGGATTACATCAAGATTTCACGAAGACCTCAAAGCTAAACTTTATAAAAAAACGAATTTCAGGACTTCTGGCGCGTGACGCAGGGGGTACCCGGTGCTGCACCGTGATTTGACTTACAGTTTGAGAGTTTCGAGATTTTATATGCTTTTGGTTTTCGATTTCGTACGAAAAGAAGGTTTCTTCTACGCAACTTTGGTTACAAAATGAAGAATAAATTACGGAAATCATTATAAGTGGTAAATGTGCCGTTTTCAACCAGATTTGGTGCGCACTCCACCGGTTCTGCCTACGTCGCACACAACAAAATGCAAATTCTACTGTCAATTTTGGAAGAACTGTAAAGGTACTGCATGAATCAAACCAACAATTAAAAAGTCGAACCAAAAAACGGTTAGGAATATTGAGACTGAGCGACCTGTTGACATAATTAATAGGTAAATAGTAGGTAGACAGGTAGACAGTTGGTAATAGGTAAATTATTCCATTTCGACTCCTCTTCCTAAACCTATAATGGTGTACTTACGGCTCCAAGTTTAGCTAATGAGTAGGACAAATTGAAATAAAAAATGCGTACAATAAATGTAGTTTGACAAATGTACGCGGTGAATGGTTAAGTTAGGAAATGTGGGGTTGCGATATGTCGTGTAACGCGCGTTATACGACGGTTGACATAAACCATTGCGACCGCAGCAAGCTGTGACACTATACCGTACGTATAACCGTTAATGAGTAACCGTATAACCGTATAACCGTATAACCTTGCATTTCAAGCGACCGTCCCATGTTATTGGGTAAATAATTTTTGCAATAATAAGTTCATAGTGGCGTATTCATTCGGAAGCGATAACGATGGACTTTGGATTAGTCAAAAGAAGTCGGGCACGTATCGGCAAAGGGGCAAAAGAGATTCATTCAGCCCAGTTTCGTCAAAACCTGAAAAATCATCAAAATAAAAGCATGTTTTCCAGTTTCTCATTTCTAAAACTGTAATTTTCGCATGAACACCCTTCCGTAATCCTAAGTTTGCAAAGAACACGACAGTCACGTTGTACATCCCATCTGTCGTCGAAAGACGGTTTTTTATTTCGTCAAGAAACGGATTAATCGCTCGGTAGACCCGTCTGTATGCGACCAACCACTCGGCTCGGCTGCGACCAACCATAGCGGTTTTTGGAGTTTTCAGTGTCCATAAAATCCGAAAGGTAGCCTTTAATCTTCGAAGATCACGTCAATTTGTCGTTTATGTCTTTTTACAGATAGGATCCGCCGCCTTAAAGAGAACCAATGACAAATTCACGGATAGTATCGCCAAAACCAGAAAGTCGCAACGTTCGGTTGAAGCGTTAGAGTTGTCCGACAATTACCAGTATATCAACAATCAGATCTTGTAATGTTGACGGCGAACGAAGTCGAGCTACCAAGGGCGCCTGAAATACTTCCTAAGCAGATCCTAATATTTTCAGCCGTTAGTGCTAGTGTCGTCAGCGCATTCAGAGCACAAATCCGTCCGAAAAAAGTGGTTTATAAGAGAATACTCCAGACAAGATGCAACCAAGTAAAAAAACTGCCAAGTTTCGCTGACCATCACCGTGCTGGACGTAGTCCTGCACGGCGCCGGTCAGCCAGTTCCCAGCTGTAGCTGACGTGGATTTCAAGTGAGACAGGGCGACGGTATCAACGCAGGTGACATCCCACGCCAAGCACATCCCGCGTTTCCAGGCGAAGGTCGTACACCCATCTGGGCGGCGATTCGACGTGTGGTATGTTCCCCGCGGCTCCATTTTAGCAGGAATGCCGGCTGACACCAGTGCACTACACGCGATGCTGTTTAGACCGCCATGACGCGGGTGTCTTCCAGCACAGAAGGCACAGGATGGGCCGAGGTGGACGTATGCATCAACGGGCTTGTGGCACTTAGCACATGAATGCGGCTCACAGATGGATACGCCTAGTCTCAAGCCGACTGAAATCTTTACTGTGTCATCATCAAGGAGATTACCGATGTGTGCCGAGGGTAAGGCATTCAACCATATGCCAGCTTCCGGTGTCGACTGAGCCAAGAGGCGGGCCCGGTTGACCTCGTCGTCGCGAAAGATATCCAATAGTAAAGACAGCGATGCGTTACACAGCGGAAGACCCCATGCTCGTTGTATCTTACGGAAGTTGTGATCTGGGAGATCTTCAAGACGCGCTTTGGACTCACACAGCTCCGCGGCAGCCAAGCTATCTAACGAGGGATGGTCAGGAAGCAGTAAGGACACTAAGCCGGATACGGAGTGAATCAAAGCCAAAAAGGCTGGGAGCGCTAATTCTTCCGCCCGACGTTTGCCAAACCGCCTCTGCTCACTGGTAGTGTCGCCTGCCGCCTTTTACGGGTAGTCGTTGTCGGGTAGTAGTCGTTGTGGGCCGTGCGTACATTGCAAAAAGTGCTGTAAGCGATTTCGGTAAAGCGAAAGTTGTGGCGCAAGTACACGCTCTGCAATCTGCACTTTATTATTAAGTGCAGATCGTTAGCAGTATTCACTGGACAGATGCTCTCCAAGCTATGACCGTAAGGCCACAACCTACGCACGTCTTGATCATCGGGACGTTTTCGTCGGTTACGTACGACTATCCGAGACAGGGTGAAAGAGCCTGATTATTTTAGTTTTATGTCATAAACAGTTGAGCCAGTCCCAGTCTCGTTCTCTCTACGTTCTCTCTGTCCCTTAATCCAACTTAAGGTACAAAAATTTCATTAGCAGACCTTCACACACGTCTAGTTGCGTCGGGTGGCAGATAGTAGACTGCATTCTCTGTCACGCTATAGAACAGCGCTCTTACTTCTGATCGTTGGCAATATAATTATGTATGTCTATTGTCTAATAAGCAACCTGTCACTGGTTAAGTGAACCGAGGGCACTCACTAGCGCTAGCGGTATGTGCATCTCTTACAGGCTGAATGTGCGTATTAATTTTTGCCACTCTCATAAAACTAGATTTGGTCGTGGTGACTGTTTACATAAGGATTCAAGTTATTCATTCGGCTGCTATGAAAAGTAGGATCACTGAAAAGCAGTATACCTATATATCTTTTCACTATGGTTGAGCAAATTTGCAGAGCAGAATAGTTTACGTGAACCCACTTTGCAGACAGTCCCAACCGACTAAATTTGGATCAATAAAATGAACTAGCAAGTAGTAAATGATGAATTTTCAAATCACGTGTTGGCAGTTGCCGACGATAAAACGGTATGGCCACCTCAGATACGATATTAGAATTCAATTTTCGGACTGTATTTTAACATTAAGTCTATAATTGCACCAATTTTCCACTACTAGGGACATGAAGCGCTCAACGGGTAGCTGTGAGCCAATTTGCCCGTCAAAAAGTTAACAAACTTTTTGCCGGCAAAAAGGTTTGATTTGTGAGCCGTGAGCCAATCAACCTTTCTGCCGGCTACATACGTGACGTACGGATCGTATCGTGCGTGAATCCGTTATTCGACGGTTTTGTTTCGATAATTTTACTAATTTTTGTCATTGCGTAGTTACGAACTGAGGATCTACCAATTCGCCAGTTTAAAGTTTCCAAAATGTTTGGTAATTCCGAAAGCAAAAACATGAAAAAATAAGCAGTGAGGACAAACTGCACGATTTTACACGTTCTATGAACTACGTATCGTGGAGGCCGAAAAGTAAACGGTTCCGGCAAAACGTGAATAAACACAAGACGACCGAAACGGTGGAGCAAGGATTCTGTGTCTATACAAGGATGTAAGGATGTCGATACAATACCGTCGTTATTATTTTCATCGTAATTATTTTAAATAGGTGACGATTTTAAATTACAAAATTTTTTAAGAA